TGTCCATTTATTCTGTTGCATAGAGACAGTCCAGTGTGTCCAATGTACATGGAAGAGAGACATTGATGGCACATGGTGGCATATATCTCATTATATAGATGTGCAGGTGAACAAGCCTTTGATGGTATGGATGATGTGATTAGGTCCTGTGATGGAGTCACTAGGGTAGATGTGTGGACAGAGTTGGCAATGGGGTTTGTTGCAGGAATTGGTTCCTGGATTCATGTTTCCCTTGTGGCATGTGTGGATGGGAGTCAGTGTGTGTTTCAGATTGGGGGGCTGTCTGCAAGCAAGGACTGGCCTGCCTCCCGAGGTCTGTGAGAGCAAAGGATTGTCTGCTGGGATAGGTTGTAGATCCCTGGTGGTGTGTTGGAGAATTTTTAGCTGGGGGCTGTAGGTAAAGGCTGTGGCCTGTTACTTTCTTTAAGTCTTTCCAGTAGTAGGTGACTTCTGGGTACCTACTTGCTCTGCTAATCTGTTTCTTTGCTTCCCCAGGTGGGTATTATAATTTATATTCTTTATCATTCAAGGTCATATCCAACTAAGTGGATTCCATAAGATTGTAGCTGGTGTTTTAGCATTAACAGTTTAAATGTGAATTTTAAAAAATAGCTCTTTGAGATCTAAGATCTAAGAAAACTAATACTTGCACCATAAACGTGCACCATACTTCAGTTTTGAATTGTATGCACTTCCTCTTTTAGTTAACACACAGTATTTAAGGCACAAGAGTAGGTCACACAATAGGCCGTGGTTGCTATTCCCTGTACCTTCTCAAGCTTCCTTTGTGATTTTTGGACAAGACAGTTATTCTTTCTCATTAGTTCTCATTTTCCTTGATAGAAACACAGATCATAACTTTCAGGTAAATTGTGAGTGTTGCAAAGTGATCTGGAGGATGCCATATTTATTGTAACAGATTATGAATGTTCTTTTAAAAGCAGTTTGTGGAATGCAGTTCCCTGTGCTATTTTATTGTTAGAGATGTCATTAACTGTTGCACTATGTTGTAGTTGTACTCAAAAAGCTGTTTACTTTTGCAAATGTTATATATATATCTTGTAAAAAGGGAATTTTTTACCCTTTTCCCTGTCATACAATTCCAACTTGATCCCTATAATGTTATATTTTACGATAAAAATAATTTAACATGGTAGACTGGATGGCTTTGGTAATTTAATGGGAAGTCTGTCACCTTTTACCTGACATTGAGCATAATTGTGTCTGTATTGTTGAATATAATGTAGGGATGTGAGTGAGTAGTCAACTAGTTGGTTCTAGTCAACTATTCGCATTTGCCTCCCCCTTGCTGCCTCTGTATCACTATATTGGGGGGGAGGGACCTTGGATAATTAATTGGGGAAAAAAAACCAGTCCAAACAATTAATGTAGAATTATACTTAAAAATGTAAGCTTTTAAATAATCATAATGATGGTTAGTGATGCAACACATGCCAAAAATGTCCATGATGGATAAGCTATTTGTTTTACAATGCTACTTTGTTAAACTTTGTACTCTTTTTCTTCAGTTGCTTTCCCCAATCCTGGGGAACCAGATACTGTGAGAACTGTTGCTTGACTGGCCAGCCCAGCTTTTTAGCTAGTACCCCTTTTTCATCACTGTACATCCTTCAAACCAAATTCAGTGTTAGTTCCTGCTCCTTTTCTCTCTGCTGAGGTCTTGATATAAATCCTCTTGATATAATACATTCTAAATGTGTCCCATCAACACATCTTCTTTTCCCCAAGTTCAGATGTGACCCTTTAAACTATTTACACACTGTGGTCTTTCCCCTATCTTTTTTTTTTCAAGGCTAAATATGTTCCATTCTTGAAGTTTTCTCTCGTGGTGGAGATCTTTGTATCTGTAGCTTTTCCCTTGCTGCTTGGATAAACATCATTTTGTCAAACTGTAAACCTAAATGTTAGCACTTCAAAAATTTGTATTTAGATGTGTAACAGACAAATCTAATACACCTATTCCAACATCAGGGCAGCTTTGACAATAGTTTACATCCACAACTAAGCATAAGAACTAAAGCAAGAGCAAGCAACCAAACTTTTTTTTCTATGGCTTTTTTTTTTAGTAAAAACCACCTCACCCTTTCTAAGAAATTGCTCCTCAACCAACCATCTCCTCAGAATCTCCCCAAGCCCTGTCATTTATTAAAGACCTGGGTGGGGTGGCGTGAGGTGAGGTGCAAATTCCCAAGCCAAGTGGTGCCAATTGACAATTGTGAGGATCTTTTAAACCAGGAGTGGGCAAAGGGCCTCTGCGAGCTGGATCTGGCCCACCAAGCAGGTTGATTCAGCTCACAGAAGCCCTGCCACTCCCCCACCTCCAGGCCAATCTGGGCTAAGGACCAGGGAGTATGCAGTGTTTAGAGTCAACCCTAATGGTTGACGCTTAAGTCCCATGCACCTGAGGGCAGGGAGCGAGAGACTTTGTACTCTCCCCTGCACCTAGGCCAATCAGGACTCGGGGGTCAGGGAAGCGTGTGAAGTCTCCTCCCACTGTCAGGAGCATGGGCACCTAGAGGAAGCCGCCAGATGTTCAGAACAACTGGTGGTTCTTTTGTGGGGGGCAGCGGGGACAAAGACTTCATGTGATCCATCACCACCAGACCAATCAGGAGTCTGTGGGCAGGAAAGCAGGGAAGTGTCCTCACCCAAATCCTTCCACCCGAGACCCTGCCCCTTCCGGGGCAGCGCAGAGCCTTTTCAGAAATTTCTGAAGTGGCCCCCAGTAAAAAATTATTGCCAACCCCTGGTATTGACCAATAGTTGACCACCAAAAATTTTTGAATGGAGGGACAAGACCTGTATAGAAATCTTGGATAGAGTCTGCAAACTTGCAAGGATTCATGAACCACAGGTTGAAAATCATGGTTTTCTGGAAACAACCACCTTTTGTGTACCCCTTAAACATAGTCTGCAGACTCATAGGGTTCTGGTCATCATAGGTTGAAAACCACTGATAGAGAAATTTTCTCTTTCAAGCATTTTGCAGAGACAGCTGCTATATTACTCTTCATCCAGTGCCTGATTGGTTCAAGCCTCAGGCTGCAATGTAACTCTACAAATGCAAATTCCTATGCTACCTTTCCTCTCCACCCTGCTGTGTGTAAGAAAGATCGTCTGTTTTTTTAACACTAAAAGATGTGGAAAATGTACTGAAGTTTGCCGAAAGGAATTTAGAAGGAAATCTTTTTTTTCTTGGCATGAAATACAGTGGTAAAAAAGAATAGTTTTGATGGTATCCATCTGTTGCAGATTAAAATAAGTGGGAACCAGTGATGTAAATTGAGCTCCTATAGTGTGATGGAAAACAATGATGGTTGAAATAAATGGATCAATGTGATTAGTATTATTAAGTTGCACAAAAGCTGGCTTTGAGTATTGTGAGGCCTTCAGGAGAATGTGCTTCACATTCTTGCACCTAGAGGGGTGATGGGAGTACATGGAATATGTGTTTAATATAAGTCTGATATATCCCAGGAAAGCTTTATGTAGCAGTCCATTCTTCTGCATCACTATGATGCCACTAGTTTCCTCTTAGACTGGAAAAAAGTTACCACTTTAAAACATACTAGAAGATACTTTTATTTAGACTTTCTTGTCAAATTTCATTTTCCGTTTTGCCTTCAGGAAGTATAAAATAGCAACAGTTTCTCTCAGTCTCTCTCTCTCTCTCTCCCCAAATCTCTGTTCATGATTATAATCAGACTGATTTAACCCTGCTGCTGTAACACTATTTTCTTCCCGTCTCTGCTGACAGCTGTATTAATTGCCAATTGACCTAACTTCAGGCTCACACATGTACATCATTGTGTTTGTGAGTGTTGGTTAGCCAATCTGAATTGTGTGCTCTAATTAAGGACAAATGGAGCAGGGCTGAAAGCATTTCATATTCCCTTGTGTTATTGGCAGTATACCTGTTTCACTTTAAATATGAACAAATGAGCAAAACAGCATAGGAGGGGAATAAAGGTTGCAATGTTATCTTGGCAATAGATATTTCACCTGAGTATTTCATCCCCTTTGGGTCTGTGACTCCAGGTTAGACAAACCTGAAGCATGTCAGTTTTTCTGGGAAACATGCTAGGGCTGTCTGCAGTACCACACTCTCACAATTCTTTTAAGAATTGTACTCTATTCATCTGTTCAAACTGATTTATTCATGTGCATCTCAGCTGCTTATGTCTGCAGGGGCGTTTTCTCTTTCAAATATTTTTGCTGGTGTCTGTCTGTCAGCCAGGCATGGTCAAATAAAAGAACCCAAATTTTATTTCCATTCTTATTGAGATAACAGAAGAAATGACTGCTTATGATCTGGCAAAATGTTAGTAAACTACCTTAGAGCCATCAGAGGTTCCTTATGAAATGTTTGTAAACTATCAGATATGGGCATGTATATAGAAAGAGAGATTATGTGATTGGCAGATTAGCGCAGTATAAGCAAACTCTGTATCTTTATCTACTCTGAATACTTCTAACTAGCAGGATTTTCAATCTTTTCATTCAAGTTAAAACGTTGCAATATTTTTCTCAGTCTGAGAAACTGATAGGTACATTGTGCCAATTTTGTATTGTTTAAGGCATGGGTTCCCAAATGGAGGGGGGGGCGTGAGGCGACCCAGTCCCCCCTAATAATCCCCCTCCCCCCCAAGTTTTGCTGCTATTTTCGTTTTTTAGCCTTGGTCAGTTCCTCCTCCTCCTCCTCCTTTTTTTTTTTTTGCTCAACAAGTTTTGCTGCTTTTGGGGGGGGGGGGGGGCGTGAAGGTTTCTTAAAAATCAAAAAGGGGGTGTGATGCCGAAAAGTTTGGGAACCACTGGTTTAGGGTGTATATGAATCAGTGAAGTTAAAATGTGTGGACAGTTATCTTTGCACCATATTGTTACAGATACAGCATACAATGGGGATACCTTTGATTCTATCAAGTGCTGTAGTCTCCTTAAACCAGTAATTTAAGGTTTTTTTCCCCCTCTTCTTTTCACAGTCTGACAGCAATGCAAGCTTTCTTCGAGCTGCCAGAGCTGGCAATCTGGACAAAGTAGTGGAGTATCTTAAAGGTGGAATAGACATCAACACATGTAATCAGGTAAGAGACTTCACGGGCACCTGTTTATTATATGTTAGCATTGAATGCAACAGAGAAGGAACCTTAAAGCAAGTTGCAAATAGGAAAACTTTAAATGGTTTTAAGATCTTCACAGTCAAGTTCTGAGTCAGTTTGGGTTTCATTTTTAGCCCTGACCTTTGCCTCGAAGCGTCCACTTTTCCACAGCTGACTATGCCCATAGCATATATTTAACAGAACATCTCTATTGTAAGCAAACAGACTTTTCTGAGCATCTTATTCCTGGTAGTACCACAATTCAAACCATACTAAAAAGGTGCTTTCTAGCTAAATATATTGGCTTTGAGTATGAAAAATAAAAGTTGTTTTGAAATGTAACCCTGGATTCTCAGACATACCAACTGGGAAGGGTTTGTTCCTGGGCAGTTCATTCTCTTGGAGAAACATTTTACAGCAGGCCTACTGCTTTTTTCTTCCAGCTCACTCTTCTCCTGGCCTATCCACTGTGGCAGCAAAATGTAGAGAGTTTCAGCTTCCCAGCTTTAATATACACTTATGTAAGCTATCACCCCACTGATATTTGTCCTCTAGTAATCCCAGTCCTCCTCCTTACACTGCTACTCATGCACTCACTGTTTTTAGACAAATAAAAGGAACTGCTGATTTGCACATTACAAGCCGTGTTTAAGGCATGTCAGTCCTAGGATATTAGAGAGATAAGGTGGAAAGGGTGTTCAGGACCTAAAGAAAAGTTCTGTGTAAGCTCAGAAGTTTGACCCTCTCATCAGCTAAAGTAGAGATATTACCTCTCGGCCACCTTGTCACTTTTATTTTTCATGTTCCATTCTTCTCGCCAGTATTTGTTCTTTATGGTTTTACTTCAGTGGCACCCTAATGACCCAACTGGAGATAATCACTTAACTGCACAAGGCATTGTACAAATATTAAATGCAAAGATAGTCCCTGCGCCAAAGTGCTTGCTTAGTAGCCCTGGGTGATTTACAGTGCTTTGCTGTTGTAGCTCACAGCCTGACATACTTAGGGCGCATCTATACTTATTTTGAGATAAGTAGTAGTATTTTGAAATAACAGTGCGATCATCTACACAGCCATTCTGTTACTTCAAAATAATTTTGAAATAACGGACGGCTTATTCTGAAATGTGTAAACCTCATTCTATGAGGAATAGCACCTATTCCAAAATAGCTATTTTGAAATAAGGCATGTGTAGACGTTCCGCTGCTGCTATTTCGAAATAGTCCCTCACCAGAGCCATTTTAAGTTATTTCTTCCCAGTGCCTCCTGGGGCTCTAAATCGAGATAGCACGTCTCCATTAGAGAAGCCTGCCTTGGACTAATTTTGAGACTTCTCTGCAGTGTAGATGTACTATTTTGAAATAAGCTATTCTGGAATAGTTTATTTCAAAATAAGTGTGCAGTGTAGATGTACCCTTACAGCCAGCCCACAAGTGTTCAGGTCCTACTCTGAGAGTCTATGCTGTGTAGCCAGTCCTGAGTAAGTAGTTCTAACTCCAGCAACCTGTATACTGCCCCACAGACCCATTCTGGCTTCCACCAACCCTGGTTACAGCCAACAAAGTGGACTAAACACACTCCCAAATTTCCCCAAAATCATGTGCTCTCTAAAGTCTGGCCCTTTTCTGAACAGCTCAGAGAAGTACTGAAGTTAGAGGATTTTTTTCCCTCTCAAGACAGAAAAGCTCATCACAACTTACATGCAAAAGTAAAAACATGCATCTAAAAATCCAAAACTGAATCTAGCAAGATACTCACTTTGTTCAAGATGGTTCCTCACCTATATTCAGTTTCCAGAGACGTTATCCCCTGTGGTCTAGTGTTGGGTGCCAAAGATGGCTTCTACCTTTTCTTATCTCTTCCGAAGTTCAATAACTTTGTTTCATGAGGCAGGATGGCCTCGTGCTGTTTTTCATTTCCAGTAGACTTCCCATCCCCCCACCTTTCTGATTTCTGAGTAAATACGGCATCCATTGTTTTGATTCTACCGTGCTGAATTCAGATAGGCGACAGGTAGGTATTTGCCTTCTCTCCTGTCTGACAGGGAACCTGTTTCCTGTTCTTTGGCCACATATTCTAAGGCATAATGTTAAATATCCATATAGTGGACAATAATAGCAATCACCACTGTGTGTCATTCGTTTTCAGAAAAGACCTCGCTCTGTATACTTTTATAATACAGTAACATTGTATACAATCAGTTGATTCAATTGCTTCTCACTGAAGGTTCAACCCCTCTGTCTTTATAGACCTTTAAATGATTGAAATGGATTCTTGTGAAGGTTACTTCTCAAAGTAAAGCTTATCCAAGCTGTAAGTAAGCTGATATGGAATCTGGTGGTAAAGAATGTTTCATATTCTTCTTTCCCACTTTTATCCCACGTAATAGCTTTGTTTACCAAAATGTAAAAATGGACTTTCGTTGTCTTTACTTGAAGAAGGGCTGAGCTGAGACTGGAATACACATTCTGTTGTTGAAGTCAGACCTGTTTACCAGCTCTTCTGACATGCCAGACTTGAACACATTTTAGTCATAATTCCAGTATGTCCATAACTCTTAACACACATCCTGTATGTACCTCATCCAAGAATATCAATGGTGATGTTAGTTTTCAAATAATACCTCACAAAGTATATTTTATACAAAGATTATTACAATATTTGTAGGATGTGAATACAGGGGTGGTTTAGGATCACACAGACTCTTCTAGAAAGGTAATTCCTGTTATCTATCCCAGTTTTCTAATGCATCTGTAATGATTGGCATGTACTGGTGATGACCTCCTTGGTTGCTAAAGAGAAGGAGGGTCCTTTGATCATATAATTCTCAAAATCTAACTTAGCATTTAAAAGAAGTTCAGAAAACATTTTTTTTTTTATTTTTATAGTCCGTGTGTGTCCCTCAAATAGTTATATGTGGATTCCAAAGCACTTCATAATTCCAGAGAAGTTTTAAATAGATTCAGATGAAGTAATAGGAGGTTTTACAATTATTGTGGCCACTCCTCCTAGAAGAACAGTTTCTGGAAATGTGGACATGATTGTCCTACAAGAAGAGAGATAATGCTTCAATTAGAAAACATACATGGGCACAGTGGGAAAAGTTCTAAAGGTTCCATGAAATACATAGATATCACATGTTTCTTTTTACTGTAGAAGCAGCAGGATCAGCCACCTCCTTCTTCCTGGCCATTAAATGTATCCCCCACAAAGCATCTAATTGCCATTGACCCAGAAGTCTGAGGATTCCCTGGCTATTTTTGTTGTGGTATCTGGCTGTAAGGAAACACTTAGTTGTTTATTTTTAGCTGAAAGGCTTAAGTGTGTCCAAACAGATTAAAATCTAGTAGCTCATAGTCACCTACAGTAAACAACAAACCTAATGGCACATGCGAATTAGTGCTGTTGCTGGTATTAAAGAGTCAAATGACTTGAACATGGTCACATTTGTTTTTTATTTTTTTTACTTAATCTACAAAGAGTTGAAACAATAATTGTAAATATGAAGAATATGAGAGTGGTCCATTTATCAAGCTTTTGCTTGTTTTCCTGTCGGTGGATGGTTGTCTTTGCAAAATAAAAATGTTGTACAATAAAATTAGCACAATGTTGAGATCTAATTTGTTTCTCCTTGGATTACTACTCATCTTTTGAAAAGCTGTTACTACTACAAAGGGTGCCATTGTTATGCACAGCATCTAAAATGTGCTTTCCTACTATCACACACTGAAAACCATTTCCTTAGACTTTGGGTTGGGTTTTCCATCATTAAGCCTTTTCCATGAATCCACGTTGTATCAAATAGTGGTAGAAGACCCAATTTTGCGTACACTTACACACATACTTAACTTTTTGCAGGTGAGTAATGCAACTGAGTTAATGGGACCACTCTCATATGTCGTGCCCATCTTCAAAAAAGGGAAGAAGGACGATCCAGGGAACTATAGGCCGGTCAGTCTTACCTCGATTCCTGGAAAAATCATGGAAGGGATCCTTAAGGAATCCATTTTGAGGCACTTGGATGAGAGGAAAGTGATTAGGAATAGTCAGCATGGATTCACAAAGGGCAAGTCATGCCTGACTAATCTGATTAGCTTCTATGATGAGGTAACTGGCTCGGTGGACATGGGAAAGTCAGTGGATGTGATATACCTTGACTTTAGGAAGGCTTTTGATACGGTCTCCCACAATATTCTTGCCAGCAAGTTAAGGGAATGTGGATTGGATAAATGGACGGTAAGATGGATAGAAAGATGGCTAGAAGGCCGGGCCCAACGGGTAGTGATCAACGGCTCGATGTCAGGATGGCGGTCGGTTTCTAGCGGAGTGCCCCAAGGTTCGGTTCTAGGACCGGTTTTGTTCAATATCTTTATTAATGATCTGGATGAGGGGATGGATTGCACCCTCAGCAAGTTTGCAGATTGAGTAGGCCTTTTATAGGAGGTATTTACTTTCCTATTTATATAGCTATTTCTTCGGAACTGTAAGGAGATGAATTTCTTATAGAAATGGGTTAGGTTTTTTCAGGAATTGATATCCCAAAGAATGACACATTTAGGTTTTGGGAGGCAGAGGATGCCTCTGGAAAACACTCAGAAAAACAAACCAAAATTTAAAAAAAGAAAAATGGACAATAAATGGTTACATTTTCATGGCAGCACCAGCTTATTTGGTCTGGGTTATTGCGAGATTAAAATCCATGTAATGTCAGGTGTATCCAAATGGCCAAGGCAAGGAGGACATATGGGTTTCAGTGAAAGCACTTATGTCAAAACTGAGCTCTTCTGAGAATACAGCAAAGAGTTCTGTGGCACCTCAGGCATGGTCTACAGTAAAGGGCAAAGTCAACTTCAGATATGCAACTCCAGCTATGTTAATTATGTAGCTGGAATCAAAGCATCTTAACTCGCATTTTGGCACCATCCGCACAGCAGGAGGTCAACGGGAGCAGAACTTCAGGCTGTTCTCAGTAGTGACAGATGGCA